TATAAGTTTTCAATATGAAACACATTATACGGATTACAATAGAGAATTTCAATTTTATTATGCAAATTATCTGGATTTAGAAAAAAAATTGAAATACATGTTTTTAAATAGTTTTAGACTATATCTGATGATAATAGTTTTTAAATGCTATATTAGATTCTGAGCGGAGAAATAAATGTATTGATTTTACTATGAGGTGTTTTTATTTTAATTCACTTTTTATGTCTGTGTACACGATAAATAGTCGAAATAATGCTTTGACGTAATCGCGGCATATTTAGGATTTCTAATGCATCCATAGCCCCATAGGCACTTTCCAATTCATGGTCTTTATTTCGAACTGATCTCTCCTAAAATGATTTATAAAACATCTTTGAATGTACAATACTTGTATAGAAAAAAGATAGATTATTAATGAGTTGTAATGTGTTTTCGTTTTAATTAAATTAAATTGAATTAATATATTATAATTCATTATTTTTAAAAGTATTGGAACAAGAGATAAAGACGGACTGTTCGATAAGCTGCAGTTATAAATTCTCCTGTTGTTAAATATCCATATAATGCTTTATATTAATTTATTTTCAATTCTAATTTACTGTACGAGATTACGAGCAATCGAACACTCAATGAATACTTTTGCATTTAATATTTTATGCGTACTGTTACGACCGTATATTGCCTATAACAAGTACCTATGTGCAGTGCGTATAATATATAGCTATTCAATTTTGAGCAAACGGACGGGATAACTAGCAATAATTCTAAATTCTAAATTATATAATTTGTTAATAAATAATTATTCTAATAAAAAAATTAGTAAAATTTCGTAAAAAAAAAAATACTTTTTGTAATTTATAAAAAATATACTATTAAATTTGGAGCAATCAAAATGTCACTGTTGGAACCCTTGATATAACCCTGTGTCTAAATATACCCAGCTAACAAAATAAAATAGATTTTTGATGGCAATACAGAGTACATTTAAAATGTTATACACTATTATAAAACGGAGAAAACTTCAGTTATACGATGTTGCCTCGTCCTTCCTTCTTCAACAATTTGTCACAAAAATGATTGTTTTAAATTGCTTAGTACCTAACTGTTTAAATCAGGTACCTATTTCTCTTCATAATATCTGAATGGTGGTTACTAAAATAGAGTATTATATGTCTCAGAATAAATTTAATTCCAATAAAAATTAATCAATCGAAATAGATAAGAAGTTTTATAATAATTACTATAGTGTTATTATTATTTTTTTAATATTCCATTAAGGGGATTACAAACTGACAATTTTTTAAAGAGAGTTCTTTCGTTTTTAGCTGTCACTGCTCGGTTTTGTGCGTGTAGTAAATCAACACAAGTGTGTGTATACTCCTCATCAATCACCCACATCATGCATATACGCAACAGCATACAAATGCCACTTAGTCATTAGATCAGAATATTATTCGAAACCAACTTATGGACATGAAATAGCTATACGACTGACAAAAATCAAAGTAGTTCTAGTTGTTCGATTAAAAAAATTCAAAAATAAATTGGTAAACAAGTTTGCTTTCTATCGGCCTTAGCACTTTTTCAATTTCAACAAGTTCTTGACAAGAATAAATATTTAAAATTTAATAAATTTGATAACTATTTATATGGAATATATTAAAAAAATACAAAAAGTACAAAAATATGCTCTAACCGATGCAAAGAAGACTTGTTTACAAATTCAAACATCTTACTTTTTTAAAATCAAATCACTAGAAGTACCTTGAATTTTGTAAATCGTTAAGGTTGTTTTGATGAAGAATTAATAGAGTTTGCAATCACCTTAAACAAAATTGTTAGGTGAATTAAAGTGTGTAATACTTACTTTTATAATTTCTATTTCTATATATGCTAGTTCAAAAAGACTTGTATTCCCTTATTAGGAGGATTTTATTGGTACATATATTATTACCTATGTATAAAATGTAATTGTTTACTATTCAATATTTCACTGAATTAATATTGTCTAATGTGTACATTCAATACGTTTTATTACGTCTCATAAATATTTTGTCGTCGCCACCTGTTGATGAACACTAAGCCGATAATACCACATAGATCGTAAACGATTAGTATATTTGGCCGTAGACCCCTAATATAACAATTCGTTGAGTATTATCTTCCAAAGCCACTATCGTCAACTGTCATAGGACATTATATATCACACTATGTGAACATTATATATTATATATTTATTTCCACTTGTGAAAACGTAAAAACATGAGCTAATAATTACTATACTATATTTTAAAGCAGGGGTGGCAAACCTTTAGAACACTATGTGCCAAAAGTTACCTTTTTTTTCGAGCGTGCCATGAAAAATATTTTTACCTATTATAATATTATATATAATATAATACATAATATATATTAAAAATATTTTACCATATATTATACTTGCCACTTGCCATGGATTTGCCATCCCTGTTATAGAGTGATGACACCCACATAAATTAAAACAAAATAATTGTTTTTCAATCAGTTCATTTATTGATCATAATATATAATTAATTAAATTACAAGTTTATTACATTAACATTAGTGTTATAAAATTAGGTATTACAGCTAAAACAAATTTACATTTATTCTTGAACAAATAATTCAGATAAAAAAATGTTATTCATAGGTATAATTGCAAAAATCGTAAATTAATAATAAGTGATTATTGTGCTGTATATTTAACATTAATACTTTTAGAATTGAAAACAATTTTCAGACAAAAAAGTATTGTAAATAGTCTTCAATGACTTTGTTCTAGAATATTATTTGTACAGACTAATTTTTTGAAAATTAAAATTTTATTAGTTTTTACGTACCCACTAACAATAATACACACAAAAATGTTGCTTCTGAACATGAAACATTAGAGCTAAAAGTGCACAGAGGAGACTGAACATAAAACATTAAATCTAAAATGTGCTTGGAAAAAACTGAACGTAATACATGATACCTAAAAGTGCTCGTAGAAAACAATTCTAAATCGATTTCAAAATATAAATTCTCACACCACTGAAAAAACTTATGCTTGCCTATTGCAAAATAACTGTGAGTCAACATGTTATTATGTTAATCTTTATAGCCCCTATCAAAACTAAAAAATGTAATTTATTGTAAGGTGCTCCTGACTATGATTCCAAAATACTAAAAATGCCCAGAGACGACTGGACTTACCTAATAAGTGAGATGTTGCTCCAGAACGTGAAAGCTTAAAGCTAAAAGTGTGCGGAGGAGACTGAACATAATAAATTATATCTAAAATTACTTTCAGAAAACTAAAAGGTATAAATTATATCTAAATAATACACATTATATCTAAATGTGCTTGGAGAAGATTGAACTTATCACATTATATCTCAAATTTGTAAAAAAAAACAATTGTATATGCGAGTTCAAAATGAATAAACTGACACTGCTTAAAAAATGGCTGCGTATCTATAACTAACTATACATATCTTAAACTGTGAGTTAATAATTTATCTTTTAAAATATATTTACTGCTGCAATTCTAACCATTATTATTCCAGTTTATGAATTGTAAACTAAATGACCATGTCAATGTTAATAGTTTTTTGAAATTAAAAATTATTTAGAAATTGAATGTAACTTCACATTAACGATTAAATACATCGTTGCATTGAATAATATTGGTTTTTCATGCATAATAATAAAAGTATAATGAACACGTATTTATAAGTAGGTATATGAAAATTAGTCGACTAATTTGAATACAATATAAGCTTAAATTTTTACTGTATAAATATTTTTAATTATAAGCTTAAAGTCTAAAATATGTTATAAATACTTCAATTAATCAAGTACTATAATTTGTATGCTCATATAATCTATCACAGGTAGATACAATATTATCAAGAACTTTAAATTTAGTAAATACATCATTAAAAAAATTGTAAATTATTTTAATATACGTAAAAATAAGCCATAAAAATTAAATCGCTGCTTTTACGCAGGAATTGTCAATAAGTAATATCTAGTCGTGACATTTTTACCATTTTTTAGTTTAAAATTAGAGAGAGTGGGTGATATGATATAACTAATAATTTTAGAAGTAATCTTCATAATTTATTGTTGCAGATACTGCAGTATGAACTTAAATTTTTATTTTTGTGAAAGGTTTTCGTGAAAACTTTTATTGGACAAACAAATGTTGTTTCTATAAGATTTAATGCTAAATGAATAATACAAATTTAACAAACGCTAAAATATATTGAATGATATTTTTAATACTACTATAGTAATCCATCTCTGATCGATATCTGTAAAACAGTGAAAAAAAACCAAACGGTTAGCGTTGAGTTACTTACAAAATGATCTATCGGAGATTTGCTTTAAACCATAGCTGTAATATAACTGATATTTAAAATATGGAATTATATTTCACCATCTTCCACGAGGATAATGAATACTCGAATACCGTAATACACCGTTCGCCATGTAGCAATTAAAATCCCCATAAGAACGGTCACGAGGAATGTTTTGAAGTATGATATGCCATTTTCTGAATGTGCGCAGTGGAGAAAATTTGGTAAAATTGGGTAGATTAAAATTTTGTAGATGAGTGCGGCAAACACGTATATTGTCGTGTAAACGCCAACGATAATTGGTGTTAAGAAAAATACCAGAGTGATGAACGACAGGATGGTTGTGTGGATGGTCAACATCGGTTCTTGATGTTCTCGATTAACCCTGATCCGCCGTCGTCTGCGTCTGGTCCGTCTGGTCGTGTTCGGTTCGGTTGTTTCATCCGTGTTATAATTGTTCTGCATTTTTGCACGGTTCAGTGATCGGATATAATAATAGATTGGTATGTATTACAGCGAGCGCAAACGGCTTCTAGCGATGTGTATAAAGGCTGATTAAGGTGGTTGAGTACTTAATAGTGTGACGGAATGTGTGGCGAGTTTAACTTTGAGATGAGATTTGGAGAACGACAATTGCTACGCGATTGATATTGAGATTGGAATTGCGTGACGGAGGTAATGACGATATCTGTATAACATTGCGCTACAGTGGCATGCTGGATCGCAACAGTTTTGGGTTGTGGGTGGTAGTTGTTTGGGTGTATGCTCCCGTGACACTGATAGCAGCTGTGGCGGTGGTACTTGTAGTTGACGACGGTGGCGGTGACGGTGGGGACGGGGGCGGATAGACTGGCGCGCTATTTGGTTTTGCGGGAGAAAGTAGGCAGGCTCGCCTCATTTTCTACGCTGCCTAAACCTTCCACCAACCGTCGACGGCCACAACTGGAAACTGGAAAGCTTATCCAGTAAACATGCTTGATGTTGAGGCATGATTTTTAGAGGCAGCCATCCTCGACCGCTGACCTCTTCGAATCTTACTTGCCAACTTGCCATCAAACGAAAAGTAGAAATCAATTGGCATTAGCATCTACAAGGATGAAAAAAAAACTTCTTTAGTTCTAATTTAGTTTATGTATATGGTATTTAGATGTATATAATATATTGTAACTGCAGAAAAAAATAAGCCTAATTTTATAAATTTTGATTTTATCATAATTTGTCCCTGTAAGTACACGTAAATACATCGTTTCTGCAAAAAAGACAGGAGTGTACCAAAATAATTACTATGTAATCGGGTAATGTACAAATAAAATCTTTTAAAATGGAAATATTAACTTCAATAATCAATTAGTTTTAATACTTGTCGAAACACGAATAATTTAATGGTGTTAAAAATAAAACAAAAATAAATTTGAATAAATTCATTAATAGAAGAAAATTTGGTAATTATCATGCTTGTTGAATGATGACGACCCCCCCCCCCTGTTTAACATAGCGTTATTAATATTATGTAATGCAAATAGAAAATGTACCTAATTACTGTAATTTTTTTATTATTATTATTGTTAATTATTGTTTAGAATTTATTGCAACATTCTTAAATTGTTCGAACACCGGTTCATCTCTGTAACTCTCTACATTTATATTATTATATAAGCTGTATTTTATCTGTTATCTGTTTATATGTCATCTCAAATTTTACGAGATGATAATCAATAATATTAATAATAATTAATCGATTATGAGTAATACTCACGGTGTCATTTAAATCGTTGACATCGGGAACAGTGTCCATTCCGTTATTTTTATACCGTGGCTCCAACGGCTCAAAGCACACGTACTGCCCAGTTAAGGTAAAGTTGAGATTAGGGCCACCATGAATAAGGTACGGACGATTTGTGTTGGGTGACTCTGAAATATTCATGGGTGGTGTCACTGGTGTCGGAGATGTGGGTATCGGCAATGGGGGCGGCGCTACCGGAGTTTGATGTGTGGGTTTCTCTGTCATTGGCATTTCCGGCGGCATCGGTTCAGTCCGCGGGAATTTAAAGCGAGTCTCGTAAGCGACCACTACAGCGGCCTTCCACTCATCTGCCCAATCATCTGAGACCACGGACATGTCCAGCAAGTGGACCAACTCGCAGGGGAGGGAATACGGGTACTCGCGTCTCAACGAATCCATCTGGTCGACCAACATGGAGCACAAAACGCGGTTTTTGCGCTTTAACACGTTCAATCGTTCGCGATTCCGTTGCCCTAAAGTGATAGAGGTCGACTTCAGCGATGCACTCAGCAACGGTAAGCCATTGATTTGATCATGCAATAACCAATCATCCTTCACATGTCGAGGGACGGTGTCCAGTATTTCCTTGCCAGGCGTGCGCAGCTGTCTGTTACTGTTGGCAAGTTCCCTGAGTGTCCACACCACGTACTCATTGCGATGCCGGGCCACCACCCACACTCTGTCCCCGTCCCGTTCAAGGTCAAGTTTCTTGTCCACGTACTCGATAGTGCACTTTTGGCACTTCTGACGTCCTTCTTTGCAGCTTTGGCTATGCTTGTCGCAGTTGTATTTTGGTGCCTCGTCAACGAGTGCGGCTCGCTCCTTTATCGTTTCCATATTCACCGGCTCGCCCGTCTCCCGGGAGATATATCCCTTTGGCGTCAATAAGTGGTCCTCGGGCTCGTAGTGGTACACGTACGCCAACTCCTTGTCCTTATGCGGCCTCTCAGACTTCACCACCGGCAATGGCTTCTTGGGTGGATGTTTGGTAGGCTGCTTTGACGGAAATCCAATAATGACGCCACACAGCAAGGTCCAATGCGCGGTCCGACCGCCGTTGTTCGTTGGTCTCTTGTTTTCATCGGCGTCGTAACTGAAACACAACCAAACATGACAAAACATCATATAATAGTGTTTATTTTGTTTAACGTATATAGACATATTGTATATAATAATAATAAATCAATCAATTAATCGATCATCCCATGAATAAATGTACATAATATAATATGAATTTCTCACCGGTGACTAGTGCCTATAATATAATAGCCTATATCCAGTATTTGGAAATAACGTCGTTCACGAACGCACGTTCATCCACCCACGTTCATATTTAGTGAACAATACGCGAATATCACTCATTTTTTTGTAAAATTTAACATGAACTTGAACGGTTTTAATGATTTTGAACGATTTTTAAGACGCTCTTTATCTGCCGTTTTTATAAATTTTTATAAATAATGGTATATGTTTAATTTGCAGTATACTGATTAATTATATTGCATATTTTCTTATAATAATTCCTATTATAAAATAATTTAAAAAGTTAAATTAACGTCCTAGTGAACGAATTAATTTTTTTAGTGAAGTTCCGAACACTACCACCACCAGTTAAATAAGTTCCTAATAAATACAGAAATGTTCGGGATGCATTATTTTTGTGGGCCACGGAAAGTTTTTAAATGTTTATTATGTTATATGATTATATTTTTTAACTATAAAATATAGAGTACTAGTATATACGATCAATTTAAAAAGTATGTACATTATACATAGTAATATATACAATTAAATGTATTTCAGAAACGACAATAACCCTTGAAGTTTAGGAGTATATGTGTGATTAAAAATTTAAAAAAAATTTAAAAAATAATAAGACATACTATATGTTGTCAAATGATTAGACTATATTATCATTTATCTGTCGTTATATACTATATTAATATATTGTTCTACTGACTACTTGAATGATTTTGGTAAACCAACAATAATTTATAAAAATCATTATAACTTCACTAATATTGGCGCAACCACTACAGGATTTAACTTTATTTGCAATTATTAATCAGGATTTACTAATATTATATATTATACATTAAAGATAAAAAGACATAATTATACGCGTTAATATTCTATAGGCGTCTATACGGTCTATTACCGCTAAAACATATAATTATTATTTGTACAGGCTAATACTCATCATTTCAAAAATGCAGTTGTTATGTTTTAAATCTCAAGATTTAAAAAAAATATTATATTATGAAATTCCTTAAAAATTAACCGTAATATTAACATGTAATTAAGCCATGAAGGGGGCCGTACACTCATTGTCTCCGTCTTACAGAAACATAACATTGCAAATTGTACGTTCTGAATAGTCTATTAATACTGTTATATTCAATATTAAAGTAAATTGACTTATTGTAGAATGTATAAATTAAAAGTAAGAATATTACTTGGTGAATTTCATAAGTCCTTTTGTATTTTTATTTTAAAGCAAATTATGATTATTTTAAAATAAAACATTTTTTTTAAATTTTAAAAGTAATATTAAAATATTCATAAAAAACCTATATAAAATACATGTACACATATATGAATACAATTCACTAAATAATATTTCTGATTCTAAATTTTATAAAATGTCAATTTACACTAAGATTAAACTTAACTGAGTTGGATACGTTCCAAAACGTTAAGTCCTTATGTTAGATATAAGTTTGTAAGTCTGAGACAACGAATGTAGGTGTGACATAAGCTTAATATTATGGCTTTCGCCATTTTACTTTTTTTAGTCGACTGTTTAGTATTATGTTTTGTTTAGTTTATATAATATTATGGTTTTTGGCTGATCTCAAATTTACTACATCAAGCTTACGACATTACTAATGGCATAATCAATATATTATTATGATAAGAAACTTACCAAACAGCGATTAAATGACCTCGTACTAGACGCTGCACTATGGACATTGAGTTATAACTTGCACATTTTTCTACTTCTAGTGAATCAGGACTTAAATCATTTTTGTAGTTGGCCAAAAAATCACGTTTCACCAAACGAATATTATATCGTGACTTTGGTTCGTTAGTATAGTTGGCTACATACTGCAAATGGAGGCCACTAAATATTTCGCCCCAGTTTGTCATCCTGCGATGTCTTAATTCGGTTATTAGCTTCTGTACTTCTACATGGTAACACTCATATAAAGTGCGGACCCCAGCCGTAATGATCCTGCAACTTTCACGGTGCAAGTATTCAGCTCCGTTTGGAAACATTTTCAACAACTCTCTTGACTTGGAGCGGTGAAAATAGGATTCCTCTCCCGCAATCACTTCGATCAATCTCATTTGAAATAAGGCCATGTAAACCGAAGCAAATCCATTACTAACATGGAACAAAAACAAATATACACGTAAGTATACTGATATTATATACTTATTAATTATATGTGTATTGAAATATACCCATATGTTATATTGTGTATAAAAATTAGACCTGACAAATAAAATACATAGCTTTTGTTCTAATACATTTGTTTTTATTTATTTATTTTATTTATAATTTATTGACTTGCACATATAAAATAACAATTTAAACTTAAATCTCATTATTTTTGTTTAGCCATGTTGATTTGGTCGTAAAGAAAATTTCAAATTAAAAAAGTATAAATAATTGTTTTAAATATTTTAAGAGAATTATTGATTAAGTAGGTACTTGTTAAAATCAATTTTTTTTAAGAAATTAAGCTTAAAACTTTTAAAATTAATGAGTTACTTCTAAATATTTGAACATTTTAAAAATCATAAAAAAATAAACTACATGATTTAAATAAATGTTTTCGGTAGTAAAAATAAAAATAAAAAATGTTATATAATACGTGTACACAATAGTCAATATATAAATTTTAAAAAAAATTAAAAATTATAGAACCAAAGTTATTTAATTGTTTAGGTCTTCCATTTATACCTGTATATTATTAGATTATCTTTTGAAAATACACAAGCATTGGGTATCACACAAATTTAATTTTTATAATGATAGATTGATTATAATGAGATTAGTCACAGAAAAATTAACCTATACCTATACTAATACCAAGTCATATGGTAAATATGTTACAATGTTATAATATGACTTTTAAATGTTGGCGATGTACTGGTTGTACTTAATAATAATTATTTAATATTTATTACGCTATTACTACTACTATTTTAATAAACGATAAATTGTTAAAAGTACAATAATAGTTGAAAATATACAACAAGACTTACTTTATTTCTTTTTGTTCAATATACGGAACTGGTGATACAAAACATTTCAACGATACGTCATTTTGGCGTTCCAAGTTATCAAAATAACTAGGAATGAAGTTTTTTCCGTAATATCGGGTCCACGAACATTCCAACTGTGATCTTAATTTGTGATTAAACTCCTTATACTGATGCAAATAATGTTCAATAGTTTTTTCCCTTGGTCTGGGATTATTATTGACTCGTTGTTTGGCTTCTCGGTTTCTGATCTCGGCACGCACACGCTCAGCAGCCAACGCTTCAGCGCGCTTTGCTTCCGCGTTGAAGGCCGGTTCCATCAATCGACGTTGTTTGTTATATTGGAGACGAACCTTGCGTCTAGCGTTGCGAATGGCTCCACGATTGCGCCGTTCATTGAGCGATGTTCGGATGTACAAATCGAACCGTTTACGCATACGTCGATCCCAGTAGTCCCCGCTGTGGCCATCGATATAAACGTCCAGTCTACTAGTTTTTGCTTTCTTCAAGGTTTCATCCGAGGTCTTATCCGGAATTTCACCCGAGGTTTCATCAGAGGATTCAATGGACGTCTCAGTAAAAGATGTAAAACCCGTTATACGGGGGCGATTGCATGCTACGCCAATGGGCCCGCTGTCGGCGCTGTCCGTGTCGAAGTCACTATTGTCGGGCGAACTCAAGTGAAATGAACTGTTGTCATCCGTATCAAAATGCAATGCCCATCCAGGTAGGCTACTGTATAATCCTGAACTTTGGTTGATCTCAAGTTTAGGAACTTTAAGATCACGTGACCCATGACATAGACCTCGGTGTCCGATCAATGCATTCACTATCATCCTTGTTGAAACACATTTTTTGATTAAGTCATGTTCTACTTCACCTTCTGGCGTTCGGCATCTAGCTAGGACCATCGCAGATATGATCTTCATCCAGGCGTCATAGTTATGACGCTGATTGACCCATAACCAATTAATTATTTTCACGGTATTAATGTCATTGAGCGTTTTGACTTCAGGTATATAAATATCATAAATACTGTAATCGTCTAGAGGCAGACTGTAATTATGCATTTTCTCTGAAATGCCAGGTTTTGGACCTTCCAAATAATTTCCTGGTTTCAGAATAATATTTTGAAGTGGATGGGATGTGTAGCTCAGATGAAAAGCTTCAGAGTAAGACATCAACACTTTAAAGATGACTTTATCCGGTACATCAGCTTTTGAACTAAGCCCATTTTCAGGGGTTCCCTTACACATTACTGGCTCATTCAATTCAGTGGGGTAGCCGAGATTGAAGCGGAAATCGTTTATAGGTAAATCCTTAACAAATATTGATTTTTGAACATATTCCCGGTATCCCTCTAGGTCCTTAACATATTTTATTTTCTTATTAAATGGTTGTAGCTGATCCATACTTACTATGTTGGCAACAGTCTAAAGGTATCCGGGGCAGCCGGATAGTGGCTACAACATATGTAGTTAGACGACAACCGACACACCGGCCCCTGTCACGTGGAAAGTGGGAACAATGTCGATTCGGTGATGTCCCAATGCCGGTTCGGTAACACCTGTTGTACGGCGGAACAGTAAGCAGAATTTAAAAAAAAACTGTAAAAAAATTACAATATCAAAAAACTCACCAATAATGATATTTAAAAAAAAAACAACGCGCGAAACATTAATCAAGTTGCTATAATAACTAACGTACAACGACGACGACCTCGTGCGGAAAGAACCAACTGCAAACTGATCAGATCGAAGCGAACCGGTCGTTCTCAATCCTGTCTTCGAAGACGGACGACGATAAGCCGTCGTGATGGTCAGTAGCGCTTCAAACGGAACTCAACAGAGTTGCTGGCATGAACGACGTTGTCACCCCCACCATTACCACCACCACAACAACAACCATTAAATCAAAACCACCAACAACATCGCAGCTGCCACCACCTCAAGACGCCACGACAACGACTTCCGTTTTTATAAACACAACATTACCGTCTACCGATCGCGGATTCCAACTGACCCCCACAACGGCGTTTGACCGCAGTTCTCAGGCTATATTGCATTTGGGTGTTTTTTTCATGACAAATTATTTTATTGTTAAATTATTTACAAACTTGTAGGGTATATGCGATAAACAATTTATTCATAATTTTTTTTGTTTTTTAACGCAACTTTTGATTAATTCGCGATTATACGTACTTTACACAATTTGATTAATATTTATAGTTTCTTCTAAGTAGTTATAGTTAGTAGTTCATAGTTAATCTTCTAAGTTATAAGTATGTGTCCTGCCATTTATTATTTTGCTTTATTGACTTAATATAACTTCCACAACACCAAGTCAACCGCCATCCCGGACGAACACGTTTAATAAATGTATAGGTGCAAACGGCAAACAATCGTTACCTACAAACCAGTAAAGAGTTTATTTAAAACTCAATTTACTGTTTTTTTCTCGTATGTTATTATTTTGAAATAACATTTTCAAACTAACAAACTTAACTACTTAACAAACTATTTTTTATGGTACCTGGTTTATGATGTGACTATGTGTAGAATATACAAGTTATTTTTTACTAGAAAAGTAAAGAAAAGTGTATTTTATAATAGCTTGAATATAATCATTTTAATTTGTAATGCATTTATAGATACTTAGGGACCACATTTCACATAATATATTTTAATATACGTACATTATGCATTAAATACAGAAAATAACTATAAAAGTGAAAAGTTAACAAAGTTATATATTTAAATAATAATTGCACAAACATTCACCAACTACAACTTTTAGTCGTCTTGGATAACTGACCTCGCATGGAAATGACTATTTAATAAATGACAATTTATTTTTTTAAATGGGTGTATATTTGCATTCACAACAGTTTATTAGTTTGTACTTCCATGTATTATGCTGTTATCATAAATCGACATTATTGATTGTTTACCTACTATTCTTGTTATTGTTCCAAATATCTCGCCAAATAAATAAGGGGATTGAAATTTTTATGGAGTTCAAAGTATCCAATTTTCATATTGTATGGGTGTGTTGTAAATGTGTGCGTAGTAAGTGATTGTTAGTGTGTGTGACGGTGTGTAAATAAAATAGCTGTGCTCTCCACGTACAAGTCACCGCCTCGGCTTTGCGTGAGTGAACAGTAAACAATCTATGCTCATTTATATACCTTTTGGCTTTTGTCAATAATACCAACGAACTTGATAACGCTATAAGACTTCTGAAAACTGATTAATATATTATACAAAAATCTATGTTCTTTATAGAAAAATAGTATGATATAATATATCTATGAGCAATTAAACTTAGATTTCGCATAAACCGCTCCGGAGTTACTCCACCTAGCCTTTGATATTTATTTTTGATTTTTGATTTAATATTGAGGTCATACGAAAAAATAACTAAGAAATAAAATAATTTAATATTTTAATGTTACTTACTATTTACTCTGAAATTGATTTGATTTCACTATAAATATATAAATGTCAAAAATAACAATATGATTTATTTTTTATTTTGACATATAATTATAATAACTATATCTAAAGTCTGAAATGAAGTTATACAGTGTACAGTTTTGTCATCATATAATTATTTTGTAGTATTTTTCCGACCACAATACATTTTAATTGATTAATTAATGGACCATAATTATCAACAATATTATAATGTTTATTTTCATTTACAGAAACCCTACAGAAAAATATGTTATTATCTATGTATCAATTTAAATTATACTTAATAAATTAATAATATTATATGAAATATAGTATATATTTTTGCAACAAGTATCAAAATGTATATAAGATATATGAAATATGCACAATTTTTTTACGTTATTATGAAATATTAAATTAGAATGTATGAAAACGAAATAAAATTATGTATAATAATATATTTCTGCAGTAAAGGAATTTAAATACACACCATGTTTTGACTATGTAGGAATTTACACGTATGAATACTCGTAAAGGTATGTAATTTTTTACATTGTAACTACGTACCTCTTTTTACCTTTTAGAAACTTACATATCTCATATTATATAGGAATTAAAGTATGTAATTTTATCAGCTACTCTTGTGTAGGAATTTACGATTCCCTAACTATATATTCCATGATAAATATTTTTGTCCAATTTGTTGTCTGCTGATTTATTTTTATCATATGGTAAATTATAGCATGTAAAGTCTATTTATAATTTAACATGCTTGACGAGGATTTATAATTTAGTCGTTAAGATGCGATGGCTTTATTATACTATTGAAAAATTACGACATATTTCAGTTAACCACAAGGTCCTATCACTGAATTGTACTTATTGTAAAAATATTTTCTACAAATCGTACAAATTAAAAATATATATTATGAAAAAATATTTAATTTAGTAATATTTCCACCCCATTGAACATAGGTATAAAATATAAGTATATATTATCATTTTACTACTATTACACCTTCAGTCTACATATTATATAAATTTATATTTCACAATTTATAGCTATAACTAGAGAGCGATAATTACTATAGATACCTAGGTACATTATGTTAAGAATAACTAACCTTTATACCTTAAAGTCCACCGTTAACTTATATGAGTTATAAAATATCAATCGGCCTCATCATTAACCATAAGAAATATATGCAGTAGTCACTCGATAATTCGAAAAACTCCATAAATCGAACTAAACGCTAAGTCCCCTGCGAAAACCTCTACAAATGGAAAAAATACATTTATACCGGAATACAATTGGAAATGTCTGTCAGTGAAGCACACTATACAATTTGAATTTTTTTCCACGGACCTCTATAATTCGAATTTCTGTAAACTCGATTATATGTAAGTTCATATGTATAAAGATTATGTCAATCTATTTATATGACAGAATTACGGCAATTTTTTGAGCAATCTGAAATGGACGAAAAAATATGCGATTCAATTTTCAAGGTAGTTCTCAGTAAGTTAGACGACGCTATGGACCAGACTGTGGCCAACAATTTTTCACAAAAAAAATTAACAGATTTCTCTAATAATATGTCAAATGTAATAATATGTATTATAAATAAATAGCAATTAATAATTTTAAAATATAATTGTATTTATAAGTAAATATCAAAATAAACGTAATACATATATACAATTTTTCACTTCTCTTTAATTCGAATTAATATTTTTTCCCTCGATTATTAGAAATAATAGATCTCTTGGTAAATCGAAAACCTCTATGAATCGAATTTTTACCTTTGTCCCCTGATTTCGAATTATCGAATGACTACTGTACTTCGCATATTATCTTTGCCACCACAGTACTATACGTGTACCACGAGTACATAAAAATTTAGGTCCACTGACCAGTGACCGAGTTACCTCAATATAATATAATACATATGTACCTGAATCACGGTTGCAGCCGACGATCATGGTCATGACGTGTAGGACAATACTTTTTATGAACAAGTCTGTTCTTCTACCCCATGAACATCAAATAAGTAATTATAGTGATGTGAACTGTGCAGTATTATAGCAATGTTTATACCAATAAAGGATATTGAATAGATTTAGTAGGTGAACACAATACAAAACAAAAATGGTTTTTGAATAATATTAATGGTTATCATTATTTATTTAACACACACTTAAACATACAATAGAACATCGAACAAAATTACATAGTTATAAGTAGGTAGGTACGTAGCTTATATTGTACCCAAACACACGCAACAAACATAATATTATGACCATAAAATATTTTTACTATTGTAACATTAATATTTGGATAAATTCTTAACTATATATATATTATAATTAAAATAATAACTAGAATATTGTAAATATGAGTAATATAAACTTAAATTACTATAAATCAAACAAAAAGTAACACAGATGACAAAAAAGGAACCTTTATAAAATGTCAGATGCCTACATATAAATATTTAGGTTCAGGGTTAATTATTTTCCAGTTGTCCATAAAAAAATGCAATAAGATAATTTCAATATAAATGTATAGGTTACATAATATTTGTTGACACTTAGTAATAATTCGATCCAATAAAATTAAATAAATACAGCATTTTTAAGATATTAAATAGTTTATATTGTTAGTGTTATATTATTTTTACAATAGTTACTCATAACAGTATGTGAAATATAATATAATTTACAAAAAAACATTTTAGATTTTTTACAAATTAATTATTCCCATTTTATATAGAACCTCTGGAAAACGAATAAACTGAGTGATTTTCCTCACTTGGGGCAACTGTGCCAAAACCCATATAAATAAAATTCAAGTTTCCCAATAAAAAATACTACGAACAATAACAAATACTACTTGGTTCATCAGAAACGAAGCCCTTCATACAGATTTCAAACTACCCACAGTTAAAACCTATATACAAAATATTTCGATAAGCTTTTTTGACTATTTAAATCACGCAAAAAGTGAACTTAAACTAAGTGACAAGCCTACTATCAGTTGGCTCAAGCGTGCACGTCCCCATAAAGTGCTCATTCAAGAACAATAATAACAATTTAAAAAAAAAAATTAAAAATGTTACTATATTCCTATATTATTATTCATATTATATCCTATTCAATGTTTCATTTACTCTTTATATCTAAGTATATATTTGTAATAAATTGTATATATTATCGATTGTTAAATTGATAAAAAAAAAAAATAATAATACTGCAATCAATAGATTAAATGACTTCGTCAAAAAAACTTAAAAAAAAAAGTAAGTGATTTTAAATTACAAATCAAATCTATGTACATTGTACTGCTACATTATACGTTAAAGATAAGGGCACGCATAATATTATGAAATGTATGATGGATAGCAGTAACAACATATTATTAACTAAATATATTTTATAACCTTTTTTGATTACCTAGGTATGTAAATATGTAATTATTCGTTGATTAAACAAACCAATATACATGATAAACATGCCTAAATGTATGTTTGATTTTTTTTTCAATATTAAAAAATGTGTTATAAATTATAATAATATACTAGTATATTATAAATTATATTTTAAAACATTTGAAATCAATAAATTACTATTTATAGGATTGTTACCATTGTATTTCTCTGATGGTGCCCTTAATAATGTAGGTACTGTAAATTAAACTATACAAATAATATAAAATTAACATTAGACGACTAGAAACATACCCAAACCATACTTAAGTACTTTCGTCAATAATAGTTCTAAATTATTCATTATTCAATTTGAATACAATTATATTATTTTAAATGAAATTATGAAAATAAAATATAATTCACAAAAAAACGTTCGTACAAATAAATTATACCAATATATTTTCTATTGAGATTCCAACACAGGGCCGTATTTAGACTTTTTGCACAATTGGGCATCACGATATTACCATTCAAGCACTTCTCAGAAAAAACTACACAGATTTCTTTGAGTAAAACAAAAATAGACAAACGTTAAAAAATGTAACCATATTTCTATACCAAAATACTTATAAAGTATAAATTATATTATTATAACAAAAAAAACAAGATTCATTTTTTTTTTTAGTAAACGATTTTTTTTTAAACTATTTTAAATGGACAAAAAATTTTTTTTAAATATGCTGCCTTTCAAATTTCCGATAGGGGCAACACAGGACAATTGACACTAAACTAAATTCGGTCCTGCTCCAGCAGGCCCGCATGTCAAATATAATTATATAACCGTTGGTAAGTATAAACTACACGTTTATATAAATTACAAAACTAGTTGCCATCACTACATAATATGATTGCAATATTTAGTGTTAAACATTACATTAAAAACCATATACCTAGTAAAGGTGGTGTGGCACAGTGAAATATTACATCGGGCAATTTATTTTTTGAATGACCTAATAAGCGTTAACTACTTAATATAATACTTATTATTGAAATTATTATTCTTATTAAATATCATAGTCAGATAAAGTTAGTCTATTACAGTAAGTTATACTAAAATGTCTCACTAAATCCAGTACTGATACACCCACCTACCTCTTTAAAATTATCGGGCAACTGCCCTTCAAAATTACGGTAAACATTCCATTGCCTAATAATAATATGAATACAAAAGGAAAGCAAAGAAACTAAATTTACATACATTATTAAAATATTGAATATATATTTTATAAATCAAATAAAATAGTTAATCATTATGAATGTTATTCATTCGGCGAAACTAGAACAAAATTGTTGTGGGGGAGGATACTGCAGTAGCCCTCATATATATAGGTAATACTAATCCAAAACATTAAAAAAAATCACCTCCAATATTTAATGTTAAAATTCTCAAATCGTAAGACTTATTAATTACAAGTTAATAATTGACAGTAAACAGTTTGGTATCATACACAGGACACTCTTTAAATTGTACCTAGAACAAATCTAAACATTTGCCAAATTTTAGAAATAGTCTTGCAAAGTTGTAACATACTTGAACTTACCAATATTGAATACTTCATTGAAGAAAACATTTTTCGTAACCTATGAACCAATATATATTGGAGGGGAAAGCCTTCCCAAGCCCCACCTAGTTGCTCATATGATGTTATCATTAATATTATATAGTATTACGTAAGTAATATAAACAAGCAATATCCTAGCAAAATGTATAAATACTTACAAAATTCTTACACTAAAAATAGGCACACGAAATATATTCAAAGAAATTTTAAAATTTTCGACAATAACAGTAGCACACGACTGCAATACGACTATTTAATCCATAGAAAAAATTATGCTACATTTCACTGCAATATAAAAAAAATGTTGGAATTCAAGAAATGTTGAAAAAACTTTTAGTTAGGTATATTACATTTCTAATTATTATTTATGAATTATGATTATTAATTATTCGTTCATGATATGGTATAGGTATATGTATTTTACTTAACTATACTAGCATTATATAATATAATACCTGATAAAAACCTGAAGTAGGTACGTTTTTTAATGATTTATAAGAATTTATAATGTTAATTCAAGTCAATTTTAATATATTAATGTCATTTTTAAAACAAAGTATAATTTACGAAAATGTATAAATAATTTCGTACAAAAAATATGCTTATATTTTTATACCGAAATCTTTAAGAGTTTGTAAAATAGTAAAAATATAGCTAAATAATAACTGTAAATGGGTTATAAAGTTAGCATTAATTTAAGATGACATTGACGAGATGGACACTATATCAAGCACAAGCGGTATAATAATTTGAACCCAGAAAAACGTATGCATGTTTCAGCCCTGAAAAATATATTTTTCTTAATCGATGAAAGCTATAGAAAGTTGGTTGATAGTTATAGCTCATTAGAAAGAGCTTGTTAAGTAGATAAAAATGATAAATTAAAAAATTTAATAAAAATTAGTTAACTTTTTAGCCGTTGAAAAAATAATTAATTTTAGTTAGTTTTCTTTAGCAACGAAGATCTCCGAAACTGAATAATGGATTTTGTTGTTTAGGGTCAAAATAACATTGGCTAGGATAAGCCGTGAAGAGTTTCAGGCCTTTATCTTTAATACTTCATTCACTACAGACTTTTAAAGTTATACATCAACATTATAAACACACACGCACAAATGTGCAAACAAGAACTAAATTACCAAAGGTGAAAATTCGTATAAAATTTTAACAGTGTTAATAATTGCAAGGTAAATTCCATGAGAATGTACAAATGAGGTACATTCTTATTATAAAATGGTTATAATTTTAAAACACAATCACTAACATTCTGTATACTTGAAAAAATATGTTTTTTGATAGGTACAGATAATTTTCCATTTTGAGGTCTGTCTAAAGTAGAATTTGGTTTAATCATATCATTCATATTTTAATAAAATATAAACATATAGTTCATAATTTTCCAAAATAAAAAAAATCAAGAAAGTATATACATGCCGATCACGACTTGTAGAGTATTTTTAAAACCCCAACGATGTTTACTAAGTACCTAATAAAATTTGAATTAATATTTATGAAGTCACATGTTTATTTTCCGATGAATGCTTCGTAATTGAGGTATTTCAGTATTTATATATAAATTAGACAACAACGAATATTCATAAATATTTACAACATTGTGATGGTAAAGAGATTTTTTTTAAAACCCAAACTATGTTTAATAGATAGTAAATTTTAAAAACATATCTATGATAAGTGAAATGTTTATTACCTGATGAAAACCCAATGGACTATACATTTAATGAACCCTATAATGGAGACGTTCTTAAACTCTGTTCAATTTAAGAAACGTAGTCGGTGGCGGACTTGTGGCAATACCACACGGCAGGTATACAGATAATTGACTGAGTAGGGATGACACGCGGGTATTGCCTGACTACTGCCCGACGAAAACTGGTCGCCGCTGACTACTTCAATAACTTGAACAGAGTACACATAAATGAGGCAATGAAAGTTCTTACATATTTACAATTTTACAACTTCACTTCACTTCACTTCACTTAAATTAAGTTATTAATAATGAGATAGGTATCATGTAATTATTTTAATATAATATAATTTATGAAAAATCATTAACCATTTTGTACAAATAAATTATCCTTATACTTTAATGAACAATGACAATTTGTTAATAACCGTTAGGAGTGTGATTATATTACGTGATCATGAAAATTCAAAGCTAGTTTATAATTATTAACTACTTAATATAATATACAATATGAAAAATGAAAGGGCGCAAATCTGATTTCATTCTCTATGTGCTTACATATAGGTATCATATTAAACATTGAAATAGTACATTATATTATTTATATTAAATGAAATTCTCTCTAATACATTCACACATACACACACAACTGTGGAGTGAAAAAGTCCAAATCTGTTATCAAATAATACGTATTATTTTAGTTCATAGACCGTAGTGCATATGACATACAACATATCTCATGTTTGTCACTAATATAATAAATATTATTAATCGGCACAGACAATCGTTCCACGAAAACTGTTATCTAGCTGCTAATTATTCATTTGTTTAAAAAAAATAATTTATATTTGTTGCATACATTGATTTTTTTTAAGACACAGTGTAATAATGGAAAAATGGGATTAAAACGGGACCATTTCTAAAAACGAAAAAAAAACGTACAGTTCGAAGTTATTTTCGGGATAACGGAACATGATGGTCAACAAAGAGATAATCCCGGATGTCGGGTCATCCTTTATTAAAATAATAGTTGTAAAATGACATATGTACCATATTTTCCGATGAGCGAACTAATATTTATTATAATTAAATAAACCATGTTAAACTATAAATAAAATGAATTCGCAAAGGAAGGTTTCCTAATCCTAGATATTTGAACGTAAATACGTCAGTAACAATTCTTAAAAATGTACAACTTCGTTTGAATTAATTCACATTATTGTGAATGTAATTATTATTGTATTAAAATATATTTTACGAACAATTATTTATGTTTTCGTACTAATAAATTATACTTATATAGTTTTATGCAATATTCGCGTAGTTGATATAAATGATGAGAATGTAACTAACTATAAATGAATACTTAAGCCTCAAGGCTATTGAAAACTGGTTGTTTTTTTGTGCATTTAAACCAATAAGCGGAAGAAAAAATATACTTCCAGAAGTCCAATTTTAATTTTGAAAAATATTTGAAGTGGTTCAATTCTCGTCAGTATTAAAAAAAAAAATGCCTTAGTAACAATAAAATAAAAGTGAATTTTGAAAAAAAAAACAAACTTAATTTGGTACGATATTAAGTAAACCATTCAACTAATCGAAAATGTATACCCTACATAACTTAAAAAAGAAAATAAGGAATTTAAATACATTTTCAAAATTTAGATCGAAATGTTGGTAGTAGGTGAATTTTTATTCCGGTTTTCGGTCTTTCGTGTTGAAACTTTTTTTGATAGCAAAGTATAGTGACTTGCGACTGCGAGTACGTACGTTACGTATTTCCAAGAATGTTAGAATGCAATCAAGTATCAACAGTGTTAGCCGTAAATTATAAAAAGCGTTCGAGAAATTCACGTACATGATCAATCACTACGTACACCATACGGCACACATATCAACACATCACTCACAATGGATATAAAATACAGCTTAAATCCGACCTCTTAAAAGTGGAGTTAAGCTTTTGACAGCCTTAAAACTTAAGACCCATGCATATATTATATACGTGATGGATACCGTTGATGCAAAATAAGAATTAATTATATATTATACTTTGTTCAACTATACTAGCATTAACCATGATAAATGAATAATGCTAACTTTGAATTTATATAATATAAAATTAGTATCTACAATACAGTCAACTATTCTCAAGAATAAGCAGTTTAACAATTTATATGAACATGTTGAAAGTTGATATTTATTTCGTCACAAGTACTGATTAATATTATCTTACGCTATTTATTTTTCACCCTGTATCTTAATCACGGAGTTTGTTTATATAGTTATGATTTAATAAATGACTTAATGACTTATGATTTAATTGACTTGTCAGTGGCACTGAGCATAATGTATCACTTGAATAATCAACTGTTTACCGGGGGATGGAAATCGCATATTTTCAATAATAGTAAAATTAAAAATAAGTACCTAAATAATGATTTAATTTACGTTGTTCAAAATAGAATTAGTTCCATTATAAGGGATGTTAATTTTTAGAATTGATAAACCCACGCTTAAAGCTATACCTTAATAATTAACAATAATTTAATAACACGAAATTACTTATTTTCTTTAAGATAAATTAACATAATAAATATAGTATTTACATCTTTAATAAGTTACCTATTGGCTATTATAATAATATTTAACAAGTTCTGTCAGTTATTTCCCGGTACCGACCATTGTGCAAGCGCGGATATAAAGCTTATTTAAGAGAGGGCGAATAGGGGTATTTTTGAGTGACATAAAAGGTACAAAGAAGACTTGACAGTAATAAGCAATTGGGGTTTAAGTCCAAGGGGAGAACCAAACTTTACCACCCCTGTCAATGTGTGTATCGTTATATACTATATTACAAACTATAATAACAGTATTACCTATATTATTATGTAGTTATAAATTATAAAGTTACTATTATTTTAATATTGGAAATTAAAAACCAACTATACATTTCATTGTATTAAACAATTTAGGAAATTTAAAATTATAAAAATGCATGCACCATACTTTGTTACTTACTTAAAGTTATTTGTCATAATTAATCCACCAGAATTGCTACGGACATCGAAATTTCCGATGATGTGCAAAGTGTAGTTTGGTAAGTAGGTCATCTAGTAAGACGTTGAGAAATGACAATTCGACAATTTAGGGACTAGTTGGTAATCGGCGGCGCTGGATGTTAGAAGGTTGGTAGATTGAGGATAAGTTTTCGAATTTTCAAGTTATCTAAGACCGATGTTCGTCTTCTTCGATTAGATGCAACTGCATTGGTTTTCGAATCGCCAAACGTACAGCTTTTAAGAACGTGGACAGTGGTAGTTGTATCTGCTGGATTAATTCAGATTGTGAGTCAAGTAATACATATTCAGTTTGTTCAGGATGAACTGATTCAGAGAAAATTCGTGGTTGCTGTTGTCTTTGTTCCAGAGGCCATTTGATATCCATTTGTGTTTCAATTGTTTGTTTCGCTGATTTTGACTGAACCGATTGTTCTTCTCTAAGCCATTGAATTTCTTCTGGATTTGATATATGGTCCATTGGACCATACATTTGCCTATCCGGTGACGTACTACTTTCTGAGGATGAAGTCGAAGGCTGGCGACGGTGTTGCCTTGGCCAACGATCTGTTGAATTTTCGGTCAGATTCAATTTTTTTAAATCTCGGCTCATTTTAAATGAAAAGTGGCATTGAAGCGTAGACAACAGCTGTATGAATAAAGAAATAAAAAAAAATATATAAAATTAGTACCTATTTGTGCTTTATATATGAGTGGTTAAAATTTCGAAGTCCTATTAAATGGGCGAATGTAATTTTTTTGTACAAAAAATTTAAACTTTAGTAATATTTTCGACTTGAAAAAAACATGTAACTTTCACTGGTACTAACTTTTGGCTTGTAAAATTAAAGTAAATTCTACAGATATTGAATTAAATATTAAGGTAAAACTTCCTATACATTATTACAATGACAATACAGGTGCAATAGTGATTGCAATTTGGGAAGGCTGAAGCTAGGTCTATATCACTCTTCAAAAATGTTTGTTTGGATGGTGGGGCTATACAACGATTTAGGAAAGGCTTAGTCTCGGATATGAATGCCACACATTTTCTGCTCAAAATTAAAGTTAAAATCATTACATACCACTTAAGAATATATCCTAGGCTATCATTTTTTTCTTAAACATTTACAAAATTATGCATATGAATATGTGCTAAAAAGTTCAAAATATTTACTATCAAAAAAAAAAAAACTTATGTGCTAAAAATATAAATATAAATAAGTGTTAAACAGTTCAAAATATTTATCATTTAAAAATAATGATGATAATAAATAATAATATAACTAAAAATATAGTAAAGTATAAAAAAAAAATTATTTATCTAATTATCTTGATTGCAATTTATAACAACAAGCATTTTTAAATATTTAAATTCAAAGGATCTCCGATTCTGAAGTAAAATAGTTTAATACCGTATTCACAAGTATAGCCACGTCAAAAATACGTCCGGTCTACACGACTTAACCGACAATATTATACTACACATGTTGTACATTATTTACTTTAGTATTGACTTACTTATAATAAGCGTTCAATCACTCTGAACTCTAGAGAAAACAAGTTATAACTGTACAATTGTCTGAATATATGAGAAAAAATTGAATAATTGTGAAATATGTAAAAACATGTATTTATGACAAAATATGTAAAATCAAATATAGCTCATTTTACCAAACGAATTTGTCACTTGGCGAAATTAGTTTGTAAAGTCATAATGAAAATATGTATTTACATATTACATATTTATTAAGTTTAACGTTCTGTTCTGATAAAAGCGTAAAATAATAATACCAAATTTTCCCAACCATACCTTATATAGATGGCAAATTGTATTGTGTATTACTTATTAATTTGTCATTAAATCGATCATTTTTTCACATTCATTGAAAAAATTTCAAATATTTTGAAAAATTCAAATATCTAAGTTTATTTGTTAAAAAAAAAAAACATTTTTTGTCGGTATTGCGTGAAAATTAAATTTAGGACCATATGGAATTGTATGTTAAATAAAATATGCCTAATTTTAAATAAGAATCCCAAATGCCTAAGAAATTCGCATCAATGCTAAAATAATTGATCGTAATTACTAATAATTAGTACCAATGCACCTTATAGTATGTTACTCACGTTTAGCGCTTGTTGATTGTTCACATCGGATATTATGTTCGGCGCCCGAACTGGTTCAAATGAAATAAACTGATGGGCCAAACACAGATCGAGCCTAGGTCCTTCCGGTAATACAAATGATGGTTGGTTGAAGTCGTCATACATGTTTGTTGATGCTACTGGTGGTGGTGGCGGTGGAATTAGTTGTGTTGGTGGTGGCGGTGGTGGTGGTGGTGGCGGCGGTTGCGGTGGTGGAGATGTTGGTAGCGGTGGCGGTGGAGGTGGTGGCGGCGGTTGTGGTGGTGGTGATGTTGGCAGAGGTGGTGGAGATAATCGTTCTATTGGTGTTAGTGGTATAAGTTTTGGTGACGATAATTTTGGTATTATCGTTTGTGGTGGTGATGGTACTTCCATTTCTAACTGTTCTGAAGCTGGATTTGTTTTAGCTATAATATTTTCTTCCGGCCAAGGATCGACTGGTAACTCGGCAATAAGTCTCTCCGACCTCTGAAACTTACACTCCGTCTCGATTGGGTCTAAATTACAATACGTTTTACTATTATGATTATTAGCAATCAAAATAGATTCTGGATTCTCCGAGACTAAATTGGCAATATTGCAATCGATAAGCTGTTGTTTGATGTCCCATTGCATTTTTACTTCAGGTGGGATGCTATGCAAAATCTGATCTGCAGGCGTACGTAACTGACAGTTACTTTTGGCAAGTTCTTTGAGAGACCACACAGCATACCGATCGCCTAGTTTACCATGGCGGGCAATCACCCACACGCGGTCTGCATCACGATTTAAGTCCAGATCAGAAATGTTATAATAATTATAAGAATTTGTTTCCTCCTTGACATGTTGTTTTGTATCATCATAATCTTCTTCAGCTATACCTGCATCGTCAAAATTTATGTTTTCCATATGATTCCTGGTGTATTGGCTAGTTTCTCTACCAATAGGATTTTCAATGTCTAGTACTCTTCTATCTATGTAGCCATTTGGAATAAACTCAGTAGTATTCGGATCATATGCGTAAATATATCCATATTTTAACAAATCTTCATCAGATAACTCATCGTCGTGTGGCTGAATTTTTTTTTCTTGTCTTTTATGTGGCTTTCCTATGATAACACCACATAAAAGTGCCCAATGTGCGGTGCTTCCACCATTTGTCAAAGACGGCATCATACTCCTATCGCAATCAAAACTGCATAAAAACAATACAAGTAAATTAATTAATATTTTTACTTATTACCAACCGTAACCATGTATAAAAAAACTTAAATGAAAACAAAATACTTACCAAACAGCGATCAAGTGACCACGTATTAGACGCTGGACCAAAGTCAGTTCTGATGACGATGGTTGTAAATTGACGTTCTCAGACGCCTTCGAATGTGTAGCAACGTTTTGATCTAAATCGTTGTTTTCACAATCCATTTTGAGGTCAGCTGGCTCAATACATTCGTTTTCAACATCAGATCTTATTATTTCAGGTTCAGTACGAACGTCCTCTTCATTAACTTCGTCTGTCATATCCAATAAATCACGCTTTACCAATGTCACATTGTATCGTCCATTTTGGTGTGTTTTAGCTAGATTGACCATAGCCTGGGTACTAAACATTTCACCACGGCCCGAGTACCCGGATCTTATAGCCTCCTTTTGTATGTCCTCTAAATTAGGTACGTCAATGTCTGGTGGAGGGATTGTACAGTTTGTAGAGTGTAAAGCCTTTCGCCGCTCTTTTTCTGTGGCCTCAAAAATAACTTTTTTCACCATCTCATTTAGCTCATCAACGTCATCTAATCCATTATAGTTATCTCCACAATCAAGATCACTGCCCACAGCTGCTTCACAAGTCAGTATTGGACGTGCAGCCATAGCGAGCACTGCCAAACCACAACTGTTTGTAGAAAAATAAAAAACATTTTAGCATGTTAAATTGGTAAATAACACAAACATATATCTATATTCTATATCTTAAAGCTGGCTAACCTAGCCGCCTCTACCATTATGGTGGTTTTTCTGCGAGAAATAAAATATCACACAAACATTTTTCATTAACCCACATTTTTATTATTGTATGAGAAATATGAAATATGACTATATTGAGTCTAATCCATAACATAAATTGATTCGTCATAATATTCATTAGCATAATAAATTGATATATCTAGTTTTGATAAGGTATTTATTATATTTTGAACGTGAACAATTGAAAACAAAATAAACACAAAACTTGTTTTGTTGAATATACATCGTACTGTAATGTTTAAATGTTTCTAAATTGCTTATATTTTTAATTAATTCTGAAAATGCGGAGTAATTTAATTATTTTATAAAATATTAATAAAATTGTACTTAAAAATAAAATATCAAGCACTAAATAAATTATTCATTTAAATGTATTATATTTTGGTTTTTTTGTGGCATATTTATTGAACATATTTTTTAGTTTTTTTATGTCGTATAATACGAGGTGTAACATAATGACATGACAAATAAGATAACTTTTGTACTCATCAATATATTAAAAAAAGTGTATACTATTTATAGACGCTTGCGCTACAAGTACAGTACTTATAACATTTTTATTTTAAGTATACCAACATTTTAATTTAAATTGTATTTAATAGCTTTGTTTGGAAAAATCCAAAATACCTAATTTGTAAATCAAATTTTTAGAAAAATGTTCATGATTATAAATTGATAACGTTTATTTAAGATAAGTAGTTATTTTAGGAATTTTTTAAAAAGTGAAAAATGTATGCAAATATTATTCTATGTATTAAATTAATTATACAACATTATTTTTAATATATAAGTGTATGAACCTTATACATATTTATAAATACCGGCCATAATCATGGGTGCTCAGTGCTGGAATTCTATAGCTGGCACCACAAATCCCTTATAACCTTCATCAGTATCATAAATAACAATATTGCTTTAATTATAATAATTATGTGTTTGTTTTTATTAATTTTCAATTTATATTAGAAACTACTTAAATATTTTATAATTTTATAAACGCATATATAATTGGATCTATTTTTAATTTATAATAACTACAAAGTTTAAAATAAATTGTGTGAATAAACCTGATGCAATATCTGAATTAAATTACATATTCTTAAAACCTAAGGTACTATCTTAAAATATAAATTGTATTATAAAAGAGCAATTTTAAACATTAAACTTTAGGTACATATATTATTTTGTCATTAATACATTTTAAAGATCTTTAAATCTAAAAATTAACAAAGTTGTTTTACGTTATGTCTTGAAATTTGTTTTTTGTTCTAAGCAGCAAGACTTAAGATAAACAATTACAATAATGTAAAAAATGTAAAAATTGTCCATTTAGAACCAAAAAGTTATTCAGATAGAAGTAACCTTTGGTTGTTGGTGTATTTTTTTTAATTACCTAGTTAAAACTTTTATTGTGAACTAAATGTATGTTTTTAATATAACGTTAACAACTTCAAAATAATGAAAAATGTGATATTGGCTTTTCTATTAAATAAACATTTAATTTATAATTTATTAATTATCAACCAATTAAAACGTTCACTTGTAAGTAGCATACCAGTCTTAGTTTAAAATTGCAAAAACGTAAAATTGGGTTGTTTTGAAACTAAAATATAACAAAATTATAAACGTTATTCTTTGTGATAATATGCAATTTCGTCCAAATTGTAACTTAAAATGTCTGTAAAAAATAACTGTACTTATTTATGTATATATTTCTTAGATTTTTTAGTTATGGAAAAAACTGTTTAAGTGGAAAATCGTTTTAAATTTTCAATCCTTAGCAATACAAATTGAAAATTGTATACATGTTTAACTACAAAATCATTTTCAATTTTCAATTTGATAAATATTGTCAACATTTAAACTTAAGTGATTTAAAAAAAAGTCTTGCCTGTGTATTTTTAATATTTTTTAACTGCTATTGTAACAAGTTATCAAGAATCTTGTATTTAATTTTCATGCTTTTTGACCCAACCAATAAAATTTTATCGATATTTACAGAAAAGAAAAATGAAAATTTAAAATGTCTATCGACAGCTCAAGACGAGTCAAATATTTTGAAAATGTTATCAAGTGTATGAATTGATATAATAAATATTTGGTGTAAATTTCAAGTATCTACAGAATTTCGTTTTTGAATTACAAAAAAATAAGAAATCAAGTAAATATTAAATGTTGTACAAATTTCAACCTCAAACGCTCATAAAAATTTAATTTAAGTTTCCAGTAGAAATTTTTTTATCAACTTGAGTTTAAAAAAAAACAAATAATAATCGAAAAATTCATATGCCTATAAAAAGTTCAACACAAGACAAAATATTTTTAACAATTTATGGTGTATAGAAAATGTTAACACAAACATTCAGTGAAAATTTCATATTTTCGAAAGTTGCAATGGTTTTGCTTAAGAATTACCGTTTTTCCTTAATTTTTTGTTTTTTTTTTCCTGTTTGGTTGATAACTATAGGAAATTTTAAACTTTAACCTCTCGAATGTAATAACTAGATTCACTTTTCTACCAGAAAAGTTGCTGTTGAAGAAAATCGAAGCACTTTTACTGCAAGAAACCGTGATGACAGACAAAAAAAATTAATATAAAAATACACATCATTGTACAATCAATACATTCATCGCTCCGCTCAGAATCTAAAATAGTTATCATTAATGAACATAAAATTAGTCTAAATAGTTTTAAAAGTGCATTGTAAACAAATTTGATTCCAACAAAAATAATTTGAAAACACTGATTGTAATTATTAGTATTAAGAAATGACTTATTTTTGTATGATTTGGTTGTACTATTACTAAACAACTAAACTCTATGGTCTATACCAACTTAAAAACTAATTAATTAAAATATGTATCAAAAAGTATAAAATGATAGAAATATGCACTAAACGCGAAAAAAACTTCAAAATATGCATTTATATGCAGAATAAAATTAAAAACTAGCTTTGTCTTAGTAGAAAACGTATTTGTTTCTTACTCCGCCATTTGTATGATTGTGTAAGACAAATATATGAATGCTACAAGTCATCTTCTATATAGGTATAAGGAATAGGCATAAGCGGTTTTGTCATATTTTTGAACGCGAAAAAAATACAAATTTATTGATATGAACTGAGTTTTCAAGTTGTTTTTTTTAATAAAAGATTAAATTTACATAATTTTGTGTTATAGTATTAAAATGTATTTTTCACTGTATTATAATATAATACTCATATTTTTAAATTTTTATATAAAATAATTAAAATACGTCTTATTTAACGTATCCCCATGTAACAACATCGATCGCCTACAATTTACCCATCAGCTTTAGATCATCCTCTTGCATATCTGAAGTGGAATGTGTGACCACCAAAATTAACATACGTAGGTAGGTAGTAAGTAGTACTGTTTAGTTTTGAACTTCATAATTATAAAAGGATTATAACCAGACACTGCACTGGGATTAACCAAAACCTTTAACACCAATAAAAAACCCAGAACCTAACCACAATTATTTTTTATTTTAAAATATTCTAATTTCGAAACTCGCTTACACTATTGTATAAATTAATATTCGAATAGAAATTTAATACGTAATTTTGCAAGGCTGGACATTAACGAGCTAAAAAATTAAGTGACATAAAGAGTTCATTTTTTTAACTAGTTAAATTGTTTTCCGTGTATGCAGTAACTTTTGAGTTAATTAATTGTATTGTCAATTTAAGTTAATTTTTTTTTAAACTATATATTGAAAACATATTCTAATTCGAATAAATTAATTTTACTAAACAAATAATAACAATCAGAAATATCAAATATGAATTATAAATATAAAATTATTATAATGATTATAATATTGCATATTCAAGGAATATATTATTATATATATTATAAACAAAAAAGTGGAGAGGTACCCGTCTCATTGAGAAAAAAAAATATTACTATTTACTCACTATCTCATATACGTTTGTATACTAATTAATCTATATAAAATTAATAGCTATTACTTAATATTACATTTTTATTCATTCATAGAATTACAACTGAATTTAATAATATTTGATATTATAATATGTGTAGATAATTAAATATATTCTAATATTTAATTTTAATTTAAAATAGTTGTTAACCATTTGGTAAACAAATGTCAAATACATACAAATAATTTATTAAAGTATATAAGTACTTACAGCAATTAATTGTAATATATATTTATTTAAAACTGTAAGTTCTCTATTAAATCACTATTCTTTGTTAGCTATTAAAAAAGGTATAATTGTTAACTAAGTTAAGTAACTTCTATTTTTTAGTTAACTTGTAGGTAACTTTAAAAAAATAATAAAAGTAATTTTTAACTTTAAAATTAACTTACATTTCTCTAGATAAACTTAATTTAACTAATTAAAAAAAAATAGTTTTTTTCACAGCCTTATAATTTTGTATGCTTTTCTTACGGTTAGTTCAATTTTTTATTAGTATTAAAATGTAACTAATACCTAATAAAAATAATTTTACACTAAATTGATATTAATTGCTAAATATTTCTATAGTTATCGACGCATATTGAAATGTATGCATTACGCTTTGTGTCATCCATTCATTCCGTAGAATCGACCAGAAATCATATTTTTTTTGATATGAAATAATATTCTTAAGATAATATACTAAAATCTAAAAATATTTGGCACTTCCATGGTTTCTAGATTAAGATTTTTCTAACCGATACACCGGGTGTGTACAACCATATTAATGGATACCTACAAGTACTGAAACTTTTATTTCGATGTTAGAACAACTGAACATATCCAAGTTAGAGTGATTCGAGTGGAATACATTGGATTTTAACATACAAATAATTAGGTATATAATTTCATAAAATAGAACTCACTTGGGGCCAGTTTGACGAATGCACCGGACCGGCGTCATCCAGCAATAAAACACCAATTGGTCAATCTCTTCGAATGCAGCTTCAGAGGCCGTTTTGTCTCCATAAAACTGCTCCCAGGTATTAGAAATCTGTTCACAAAGTGACTGTCTCAAGTTTTTCAGCCGGCATTCCACCAACTCGTCTGTGGGAGACAACTGGTTTTCCATGCCACCCACTATGCCCTGCTGAGTCTGGCACCAATGCAAGACTCGTTCCGTTTTCCGTTCGGCGTTTAACATTTCTTGGGCGCGACTCTCGTTGCGCCTACTTTCGGCGGCCAGTACCTCGGCACGTCTAGCCTCCATGTCATATGCTGGGTCTTCTAGTCGACGCTGCCAGTCGTAGTGTTTACGCGTCTCGCGTCTCGCCCGCCTCATGGCTCGACGTTCTCGTCGTTCGATGGCCGAACGTTTCATGTATCCCTTGAATCTCTTAAGTCTGAAAGATCCGTCCTCGTCATCGGGATTACCTACTGTGTTCGTCTGATGTTCGACGTCGTCATCGCTGGTCATCACGCTGGACGTCTCGCTCAAAGATGATATGCCGGTGACCGGCGGGCGACCACGGGCCACACCGCGTGGCCCGCTTTTCCAACTACCGCTCTCGTAACCGGCGGAATCTGAGTCAAACGAACTGTCTCCGTCCGTTTCGACGTCGATAGAACATTCGTAAGACCATATAAACGGCGAAATGTCACTGTGCTGTTGTAAAGCGTTAATTATGTTTGGCATGTCACCAGACCAACCATGCACTATACCACGGGAGCCCACCAACATACGAGCGGCTCGGTTGATTGACAACCTGCCAGGGTTGAACCGAACCATGGGCTGGTCGTTCGGATGCGGGTGCATTGTGGCTATTATCACAATCAACAAGATCCAGTTATATGAGTCCTGGGCTGAAAGCGTGTCCCGTAATCTTTGTATAGCGTCCATAGTCTCTTGGTCGTTAATTATCAAATGCCCCATTCGAAGAATGCGTTCGTTCAATACTGCCGAGGTGTTGGTGGCATTCATGTCAAGTGGTAGGCTACTATTTGGATCAAGCGGGTCACCGAGCATAAACTCGAGTTCTTCGTTTGGATCCTCGAGGTTGGATGGTACCAACACAACGGTGAATAGCGGCGTGTAAAGCTCTTCCCCTCTTTCATATAATTCTAGAGGACCTTGACCTGCCCCCCGAAGTAACCAGGGTCGTCCTTGTATGACACGGAGACCGTATCGACGGCGGTAATCGTTTTCCTCCATTCTCACAAAGTCATCTAAATATATCAAAGAGAATCTCTGTTGTCTACGTTCTCGCTCTTCGTCGTCACCCCAAAGTTCATCGTTACGGTGAAAAAATGGTATAGGCATACTTACTATGTCGGAGGTTGAGGCGGTTGTGGTAGTGTTAGTGAAAATCCTGCAGGTAACCGGTGCAGTGCAGGTGGTGGCCGAAATGCTGATCTCTGTAGATTCTGGTTTACTAGTTGCTGTGGTAATATCCGGTACAGCCCTGGTGGAGGTCGATTTGCTGCCGGTCTCGTTTGCAACGGAAGTAGCCCTGGTAGAGGCCTGTGCAACGAATATCGGTGTAGCCCAGGTTGTGACCGATAGCCGTTGTCTAGCCTTGGTAAAGGCCCCGTCGTCAAGTCGTGTGTGCCTAATATAGTAATACGAAACGGTTTTATTTCGGTATCTCAACAAAAGTTGTTGCTAATGCATAGTGGATAGTAAAAGTAGCATTAATATTGGGGGTGTCGAAGGTGATATTTTTTTTTTTAATTAGTAACCATGATCAATATATAAATCAAAGTTTAAAAATAATGTGCGATGAAATTCTCAACGCGAGCGCCTATGTGAATGAACGGCCGCCGGTATTTTGTGCGACGTCGTCGGTTGGCAGATATGCGGGAAAGGCGTGCGCGAATCGAGAACAAACCATTCAATATGGCCCAAAAAAGCACTCTGCGGTATGGCGAATATGGAAAATCGAAATTGGTAACCAAAATCCACGAAAAGAAACGATACCGGAGTGTAATCGTAAAAATTACGATACGATCGAGTGACACGGTCCTTTCCAGCGTAAACGATTGTGGCCTGGCCAGAAATGATTTATAAAATCACAAAAGCCACCACACGGACTGAAATTATAGAGTAAATTTAAACTACCGGCTAGGAACTTTCAAACATTTCGGGGGGAAAACTACGTAGGTACACGAAGGAATGAAAGGAACGCACTAACTGCCTGTACAACGCGGACGATTCGAATGACTCCCGTTCCTTCCTGGCGGACGAAGACAAAGTTTCACCGGGCTTGCGACACATACACAATCGAATCATTCTGTTGAAAAGTTCGATATACAGTGCCAACAGAACAATTCGATAGTAATAAAATAAAACCGATTAGGGACGGACCATTATGATTAGGTAGTAGGTACAAATGTGTTTCGAAACAAAAAACAATATTCACATGATATAAATTAAATTAACATAATATATTCAAGCGTTCGGTTTTTGTGGGCTATGATCAGAACATTAAATATGACGTTCGACGCTGCAACCGATTTTTTTTTAATGCAATCGTAATGTACAGGGACACATCACAGGCAAGTTTATTTTAACAATCGAATGACATTCGATAGTAAACGACAAAAAAAGATCGATAGTGACCGGCGATACACTCGCGGTGCCGCCAACGCCGCCTGTTAAGGCCTCCACCAACCAACCGTGATCACTCACGCCTCCATGCGTTATCCCCGCTTACGATTCCACGCTACAGCGCTATCACACCACACTGGCGAGCGGCGCATTTCGATAACGATGATAATAATATAATATGATAAGAATTTATTATACTATAATGTTACATACATTTTATGACAATTTTTTTTTACCATAATATTATTATGACAACTGTGTGTTGTTACAGAATACGACCGATAACGTCGTTATCGCTGATGTATATAACGTCGTGGCTAGCTGATTACTATACATTGTTATTTCCACATACATTGACGGCGGCGGTGGCAGTGACGACGAGATACTGTGTTAGTTGTGTACTCAAACACGTATCGCGCCGTCGTAAAAAACGAGTCGACCTTTGGTTTTCAGATAACGCGCGTTAGTGATGTTGACAACCAGATGAACAAACGAACAAACAAACAAAATACAAACAAACATCCAGACACTCGTGCATTAAAAACTCGCCCTCGGATTAGGAATCTATCCGGTTGCTCTCACAAAATATGTTAGTCTTTCCATTTCGGATCGGCCTTGCGCACGTACCCACTTTACACTTACATAACATGGCTTATGTTGACTGGTTTGTTTGTACGACTCGTCGTCGCCGCCGCCGCCGTCGAATCTGTCGCCGTTGCCGCCACCGTCGTCCTTGTCGGCTCGTATAGCAAATAAACAAACAACAATGTCATTGTTATTACCGCCACGGCGACGTACACGATCATTGTGTTTGGTCGTGACCGTCACGGAGTTTCTCTTTAGATTTTACACTAAAAACCGTGAGGGAGACCTCTCCGTACTCGTCCCGCAATCTGCAGTTGCTACACCAGCAAGCTAGTCCATCTGTCCGTCAATCATCGGTATTCGGCGGTGATAAGAACGGAGTAACGAATAATAATAATAATAATAGTCAAGGTATGTAGGTCAACACCGTGATTGATAACAACAGCGATTGATAACCACGTCGCCGACTCGACAGCCGCGTTCCGTCGAACTTACTGCGAACCTGATAAAGTCGGCGAGCGATTGGTATCTGATATCACATACACGCACACTTACACAATATATATATAATATTTGCACGAAATATTGTGTTCATCATAATACCGTACAAAAATAATTAATAACGCCTAAAATTATAATATAACTAGCGCGTTCGGCTGCGACGGCGCGCGTATTAAACTCGCCGTCGGCGTTATTTTTAATGATATTGAATCGTCAGGTGCGTGCGACTGTGTCCGTGTGTGTATTTGTCCGTGTGTGTGTGTGTGTGTGTGTCCGACTGTTTTAATTTAATTCGGTCGCGTTAAGACTACACCCGAGACGTCTTAGACTGCGTTTTTACGTCCGTTTTCCTCTCGTCGAATATCCTCCGACCTACGGCCTACAACGTCAACGTCAGCGGCAGCTGACGGTCTTGTCAGGGAGACGTCGACTTGCTGCTAGTGGTGCCGCGGTCGTTCGTCCGGGCGCCGTACGCGCGCGCTCGCTGGCTGCCTCGTCCATGGACTTTGGATCGGACTTTTTGTGCCGGTTTGACGCGCACGTGTACACCAGAACCGGCGGTGGACGCGGTGGCACCTGCCTAGATAACGAAGTGAAAAACAAACGGATGTAACCGATAGTGAAAATTACTCATCCACACGTCTCCCAAGGTGCGACATTAACAAACGAATTACTCGTCGATTGCAAGACCTTACGGTTTTCTTTCTGATCTGTTTTTGTTGTGGTCTCCGGTACTTCCACTCACAGGTAAGCAATTATTCATAATATTATTGTAATATGTGACTTCCTCACATTTATTATCAGGTCTCGTAAGTTCATACCCTAAAAAAGCCTAAATAAGCATGGATTTATGCACTCAACATTTTGAAAAATATTCATTTATATGCACTAAATATACAAAATTATGCACTTAAAAAATGCTTACTTAAAAAACTATAAAAAAATTTTGAAATAACATAAAAATTTAATTTTTTTAAATTTTTATGTGTTACTGTTATAAAAAAAAGATTTTAAATACTATTCTTGAGCCTTCGTGAACTGCTTATAATGTACGTCTTAGTCAGTAATTCATGTCATGGATGCATTTTTTTTTTTGTCAAATGTTGATTCTTTCAGAGTTTCCATAAAAAAATGCATATTGATATAAATATATTATAATAATATGAATAGGCATATCAAAATCATGTATAATATGCCTGATAAAATAAAAATGTGCATAAATATGCCAAATAGACAAAAAATCTCTGAATATGCAAAAACATGCTTAATAAGACTTCACATATTTAACCGTGGTACCTTGAAATGGTTTTATTTATCATCTATCATTAAATACAACTTAACAAGATTTATATGCAAATTCATGAACTTACGAGCCCTGGTTATTATAAATCCTGTGTAATCACTCGAAAAATAAACTTCCAATCTGGGCATTTGCTGACTTACTTTTCATAGTTTTCATTGTCAATTGCAATTTAATTGACAATATGTTAAGTGTTGGCTCCTTACTCTCCACTTTCCCGCTTACTCTACCCTCCATTACTCGTTTTTTCCCTGACCAATTATTATAATTAAACAACCCTATACTACAATGCAATACCTATACTATGGTCTATTGAATAGAGAATAACTTAACCTAACCTTGAATAGAGTATTGTAATGTGTGGCTTTCAAAAAAAATATATCTACAGTGTATGTATTTTCTGTGTATTTTACAGTGCCTATTGACTGTCATGGATTATTTCATCTTTGGTACTAGTGTGTAGCATATAGCACATGTTCAAAAACTACAAATAACACAAAAGAGTCATTAAGATGATGATTTCACCAGGAGGTGGTGGCGGACACCAATCGTCGGCCACTGCTGCAGCCGCGGCAGCTGCTGCGGCTGCAGCTGCAGCATCCTCTGCAGCAGCAGCGGCTGCATCTTCATCTTCCTCAGCTGCAAGTAGCTTTTTGCACTTAGGTGATGTGGTGTCGTTGTACTCGGAAGGCAGTGTTTCAGGCTTCTTGAGCACTTTGGGGTGATTACAAATAACCATATTTTTGTACATTATAAAGTAATTTTCTTTTTTCTTTTATAGACTGGTTGATGATAGAGCTGTTGTTTGTCCTGAGGCAGGTGATCTTAACAACCCACCAAAAAAGTTCCGAGGTATGTGTAAATATGCATAATGTAGTATATTAAATAGAAATACTAGAATATTTATGACTTTATAAGTGAAAATTATGTGGGTCTAATATTTTCCCTATAGACTGCCTCTTTATGATGTGTCCAATGAATCGGTATTCAGCTCAAAAACAATTTTGGAAGGCAGCCAAACAACAACAGCTGCAGCAGCATCAGCGTTTGAGTGGAAATGGATTTCCTCCCGGGATAGGACCATTAGGACCATCAACAACAGTAGGACCTCCAATAGCCACAGATACTGTTTTAATTAAGCGTCTACATGTAAGTACACACTTAATACATTTTTTATTAGTAAGTACCTATTTGTATGGATAGAATATTACTATTATACTATACATAATTATAGTCTATACACTATTTGAATTTTTGTATATGTTGGCATAAAGTGAATAATGGCATATTTATTAATTTGATAATCCAATTTATACATACCGTTATACAAATGTATCTTGATAATATGTGAAACACTAAATAAGAAATTGCTAAGTGTGATGTACAAAGTACATACATACTACTAGTTCCGTACATGTTAGTATATCTAGAACATTTTATTGAAGTAAAATATATAAACTATAATTTCATAAAACATTACATTATTATACTTCTTTAAAAATAACTAGAGGGTTGTAAAACATATGTATAGAACCAATGATTATATATATTATAATTGGCCACTTTTGTATTGAATATGAACTACTCTCACTTTTATAGCATGCTGCTGAGATAGAAAAGCGTCAGAACGAGTCAGAGAACCGCAAACTATTGGGGACTGTAATCCAGTATGGCACTGTTGTACAGGTAAACAATAGTAGTACAATAATCATTTATTTCAACTTTTACTTATTTTTTTTTTTTACAACCATTTTACCCATTACAGCTTTTACATTTAAAATCCAATAAATACTTGACAGTGAACAAACGCCTACCTGCCCTGTTGGAAAAAAATGCTATGCGTGTTTACCTTGATGCAAATGGTAACGAGGGCTCATGGTGGTATGTGATGCCATTTTATAAGCTACGTTCTACCGGGGATAATGTAGTTCTTGGAGATAAGGTCACCATGGTGCCGGCCTGTGTTGGCGGTGGTGGCGCATCACTCGGTACACCTGGTTTGGGAAGTACCATGGGTGGTACAATGGGATTTGGCTTCGGTGGAGGCAGTGGATTTGGTGGAGGAGGAGGATTTGGTGGCGTTGGATCATTTGGCGGTAGCAGCTTTGGAGGTAGCGGCTACTATAATCATCAACAACAACAAGTTGCGTTGCATGTTGCTGGGAATTACGAGCTTCCTGACAATCCCGGTTGCAAAGAGGTCAGTATTATTTTTATCTCCACATTATACTTCAATAGTATAAGATAAACCAAGTACCTATAAGTAAATAACAATTTAAATATAAACAATTATAATATTTTCATTTTCTGAATTAACAAAAAATACTACTTGATTAAAAAAAAGGTTGTGTATGTGGTTGTCTAATTAAAATATTATGATGTTATGGAATTCAGGTAAATGTTGTCAATGCTGCCACAGGCTCGTCTATTCATCATCATGTTCAACATGGTAACAATCAACAGATTCAACAGTATCAACAGCAGTCATGGAAGGTCACTTTATTCATGGAGCACCGCGACAATCAGGACGATGTGTTGAAAGGAGGAGACGTTCTGCGCTTATTTCATGCTGAACAGGAAAAGTTCCTTACAATGGATGAGTATAAAAGACAACAGCATGTATTCTTACGAACCACAGGACGGACTTCAGCCACTGCTGCCACATCAAGCAAAGCACTTTGGGAAGTGGAAGTAAGTTATTGACAATAATTAATACTGCTATTCGTTTAAATATTAATTAGTTAACTATAGATATAAAATGATAACAATTTTCTTAAATAGACATACATTTACTTTTTGACCCCAAGAATTACATTTTATTGACATTTACAGAAAAAAAACTAAAATAATTTTAAATTTTAAAATTGAAAATGTCAATGAACAGCTCAACAATAACAAGTCAAAATATTTTGAAAATTTTATCAAGTATAGAAAATGGTAAAATAAACATTTGGTGCAAATTTTAAAGTATCTACAATTATTCATTTTTTAATAACATCGGAATAGAAAAATAGTTTCATGAGAAATCAAGTGAATATACAATGTTATAAATATTTGAACTTCAAACTATCATAAAAAATTAGTTGGACTCTCCTGTACATTTTTTTTTTTTTTGATAAGAGTAGACTATTTTGTAATGAATCTCGTATTAAATTTTCAATATTTTAATCTTATAGATTTAAAAAGAAATTTTTTTATAAATTTCTAACTCAAAATAATTTTACAAATGTTTGTAATTTTTACGTATTTTGTCAAATTCGAAACTTAGACTCTCATCAAAAATTATTGTGGATTCACGCTAATTTTTTTTTTTTAATTTCCACTAATATCAACTTCGAGTAATTTTGTATTACATTTTCAAGTATTTTTACTGAGCGAAAAGTTTTTATCATATGTTATCGACATAATTTAAAAAATACTAATGAAAATCTAAAACTGTATGTACTTATAAATAGCTCAACATAATATTTTGAAAATTTCGTGGTGTTTAGAGAATGTTAATATAAACAATAATAAAAATTGCATGTATCTGCAGTCATTTTAGAGTTACGCCAAAAACTAAAATCGATATTGTCAAAAACTAATTTTGCGTAAAAATTCACGTTTTCCCGGTGATTTTGTAAACTTCTGGAAATTGACCTCCAGTTTTCACCAAATAGATTCATTTTCCTAACCGGAAAAAATACTGCAGTTGAACATTGAAGCATTTTTATTTCGACTACTTGCTTATGGTGTTAACAAACACATATTTAAAATACATAACATACTTAAAATTTGAAGTTTCTAGTAGTCGACTCCTTTTTATAATATTAAACTGTTCATATTTTTTT